AAGTGACCTCCGGGCTCTTTTTTAAAGTTTGACGTAACCAGGAAATCTTTAAAAATCACGGTGATATTAAAGCTGCTTCAATTTAGCCGTTTTTAGGGGCGCCTGGGTGGCTCAGTCGGTTAAGCGTCCGACTTCCGCTTAGGTCATGATCTCGCGATCTGTGGGTTCGAGCCCCACGTCGGGCTCTGTGGTGACAGCTGGGAGCCTGGAGTCTGCTTCGGATTCCGTGTCTCTCTCTCTCTCTGCCCCTCCCCCACTTGCTCTCTCTCTCTCTCTCAAAAATAAACATTAGAAACAAATTAAAAATTTAGCCGTTTTAATAAAGAGATCTATTTCTGATGCAGAAAAAGATTAGTCAAGTGCGTTCATTTCTCATCTCAGTTAAACACCACTATGATTTTCTGCTTTGGTACACATAGAAGTCCGAGCGAAATCTCAAAGCCTGGAAGGGCAATTTTGTCAAAGACCGACTTCTTGTTCTTTTAGGTCAATTGCTCGATACACTCGTCCTCCTAATCCTACCACTCAGCCCTTGACCAAAACCCCCATCTGCTCTCTCCCATTCCTGGATGGGTTTTGGAAAGTATCCCAAACCTGGAGACACACGCACACACACGGAGTTATTTTCCCTTTTATCACGTCTTCTGTATTTAAAATTTCATTAAACATTTTTTCCCCATTATTAGTCTTTTTGCTCCTTTTACATCTGAATTCCTCGGCAGGTGGCTTCCATTTTGAGTGCCACTCTGAGGCCTGATTTCTAGAGGCGGAACTAGAAGAAAGGGCTAAGCAGGTTCCCTTGGGATTCCCTGGGCTGAGCAGTACCTGACGGGTGAGGGCCAAGCTGGGACTCCCCGATGGAGTCGCGGGTGCTACCGAGATGTGGTCCCCGGACCCAGAGCGTCAGCATCACCTAGGGGCTCGTCGGGAATCCAGGCGATCGGCAGGCTTGCCGAAGTCGGGGACCCACCGCTGTGCCATCACCAACGTGGTGCGGGTCCCATCTGGCCTACGTGAGGCCACGCCGACGGAGCCTGCGCCTATAGAAGGCCTCCACCTCCACCCCACCTCCGATGCTGGGTGCAGCTGGGCTGAGTAGGTCCCGCTGTCTTTTGATATATGTCTCGACATATTCCAAGTGGAAAGGACTCGGGACAGCAGCCTAGCTCAGTATTCAGTTCACTGGGGAACTGCCAGTGTCTCCAGCCGCCTCTCTGCTCCGTCTACCTTGATTTGGTCTGGGCACGCTGCTAAGCGTTTCGGCCCTTACGAGGGTGAGATGAAGCAAGCGGGGCAGAGTCTTGATAATCCTGTGGATTCTGGGTGACAGGAACACTGGGGTTCGCTATACCATTTCTAACTATTGTGTCTCCTGGAACGTTTGCATGCCAAAAGTGTTTGCAAAAGGCTTTAATATTCCTCTTCTTATTATTATATTATTATAGGGTTTCCGTACAGTACCATAACTAAGCATGGCTGACAACAATCAGGTGGTCTGGGTTCAAATTCTGATTTGAAACAGCTCCGTAAAAGTGGGCAAACGAACCTCTCTGATCCTTGGTTTCCTCAGCTGTGAAGTAGGGGATGTATTAGGACTATTCTTGAAAACGTGTATTTATTTTGAGAGAGAGAGAGAGAGAGAGAGAGAGCATGAGCGGAGCAGGGGCAGACAGAGAGAGAGAGAGAGAGACAGAAAGAACACGAAGCGGGCTCTGCATTCAGCATGGAGCCCAACGCGGGGCTCATTCCCACGACCGTGACATCATGGTCTGAGGCAAAATCAAGAGGTGGACGCCTGACTGAGCCTTCCAGGCACCCCCGTATTAGGGCTCTTTTGACGGCAAGACTGAAGCACAAGTCAAACTGGCTTATGCAAAAATCCTCAGTAACAAGACCACCGGGAGGGCAGGGGCTCTATCACTGAGCTGTAGGATCTTGAGCAAAGTAGCTAACCCGTTGGTCTTAGTTGCTTCATCGGTCAAATGGGAGGTACTTGAGAGTGAAGAATCAAAATAAAGCACTTGGCACAGGGCCCACTAAAAGAGCACGTAGCGTGCATTCGTTCGTTTATTAAGATGTCTCACTGCCATCTAGTCAGCCACTGTGCTAAGTGCGGGCATACAGCAGTG